TAGTTCCCAGGAAGCTAGCCTTGTATTTTGTCGTCAGTGACGACGATACTCACCCCTGAAGCCATTTTGTCGTCACAGACGATGAAATAGTTCCCAGGAAGCTAGCCTTGTATTTTGTCGTCAGTGACGACGATACTCACCCCGTGAAGCCATTTTGTCGTCACAGACGATGAAATAGTTCCGACTAAGCTAGCCTTGTATTTTGTCGTCAGTGACGACGATACTCACCCCCTGAAGCCATTTTGTCGTCACAGACGATGAAATAGTTCCGACTAAGCTAGCCTTGTAATTTGTCGTCAGTGACGACGATACTCACCCCGTGAAGCCATTTTGTCGTCACAGACGATGAAATAGTTCCGACTAAGCTAGCCTTGTATTTTGTCGTCAGTGACGACGATACTCACCCCCTGAAGCCATTTTGTCGTCACAGACGATGAAATAGTTCCGACTAAGCTAGCCTTGTAATTTGTCGTCAGTGACGACGATACTCACCCCCTGAAGCCATTTTGTCGTCACAGACGATGAAATAGTTCCGACTAAGCTAGCCTTGTATTTTGTCGTCAGTGCCGACGATACTCACCCCCTGAAGCCATTTTGTCATCACAGACGATGAAATAGTTCCGACTTTAAGTAGGCAGAATTTAGAATTGTTCTCGGCGAGCCCCAAAAATCATTGTGAAAAAGTAAAATTGCTTTTTTTATCTTTAATCGTTGAAATTGCTTGGTTTCAGCAACCGGAATTGGTACAATCCGATGCCTACAATGTAAACAATTGCTTAGATAAAACAATACGGATGGAGCGTTGCGTTGCTTAGGCCCTTATTGCCGCAAATTCTGGGCGTGGAGAAGGTAGTGGGTTACAGCATTGTAAATCAGTGCTGTTCAGGCTCCGGAGATCGAAGGGTCGTGGTATTGAAAAAGCCCGATTACGGCGTCTCTGGTCGGTAATTTACTGTTTAGGATTTTTTTTAACCGGTTTTTAGGTGAAGAAAAGACGTCGGTGGCTCGTACGACGAATGTTCGGCAACAGCGGCTGGCAAGAATATAGCAACTATTAGAGTTCATTAGTATAATTAGAATTGAAAACGGTAATTGCAAATTTAGTGGTCGATGAAGACGTGAGCGTGAAGCCTCACTAAAGAAGGGGAGCTGCAGGGGATTTCTCACGAAGACTGCCTGAGAACTGATGATGAAAAATGACCTCAGGATTGGATTAGGTTAGTGGGTACTTTAAAGGGATACCGACGGCATAGTAAATCGCTTACGCGCTGGAAAGAAAATGCCTCTCCGCCTCTTCCTAGGGCGTGCGCTCTGCCCTGTTGGCTACTTGCCATTTTGTTGATGTGGGGGGGGGGATCGACTCATGCCGTCGGCAGCCCTTTAAATACTTCTCCGGCCTATTTAGTTACGAGCGCCAACCGAAGAGGAGCCGCCGGCCGCCCAAGGGCAGCACAGCGTAACAACAAGGAAAACTTCAAATGATAAGAATAAGTGTTCTAAACAGCTGAAATCGTGGTCTATTCGTAATTCCAGGGAGAGAGGTAGGGAACGGTTCCCTAGTAGCATACCCGCGGGTTGGGGGGCAGGATATCAACGGAATCAGCCGCAGGTCGAGCGCCGGCTAATAAACGGTTGCGACCGTCGGTTGAGCTTTCCTCAGCAGGCTTACCCCTCAAGTCGCTGGTCCCAATGGGCGAAATCGAGTTTTGCATACTACCTAAAAATGGCCTTCGTTCATTTCCCTAATCTGCATATTGGCCATTGAATTACAATTTGGAATTATACGGAATCTCCGCAATTTTACCATTTGTCTTGGGGTATATAAGTAATTTTCCACATCGAGACTCGTTTTCTATTCCCCTTATATACATTCCCGTTTCTATCGTCTTCGATGTCGGGAAATTTGGTAAGTAACCTTATTATCTTCGCGCGTAACTGACTGTTTCGCAGTCCTTTGCCCCTTTAACCGAACTTTACAGAGCATCCCAGAGATTATGGAAAAATTGAGCCGCGAGTGGCTGAAGCTGTCAGAAGCCGAACTGCGAGAGAACGACGCCCGAAATGCCGCCCGGAGCGAGCAGATGTGCCACTATCTGCGAAGGACCAGGGCGTACTCAAGACACCAACAGCAGGAGAACGCCGTTCTGGACTACCTCAAGGAGCATCAGAGGTTGACGGACACCGATTGCGCGGTGCCCCTCGCTCTCTTTACGGTAGTGATTAGTTACAACACAGAGTACTCGATTTCGGTTATTAGTATTTGGGTTTTCCTTGTCATTTTTCCTAAATCATCTTTCCGGTTCTTTCGCATTAACGGGGGGGGGGACGAATTTTTTTGGATAGGCCCAGAAATGTCTGGTAAGCAAGTGTAGTGTAGTGTAGTGTAGTGTAGCAAGTGTGGTTTTGGTAATAAATAACTATATCCTACTATATATAAAAAAATAGTGTCTGTGTGTGTGTGTGTGTGTGTGTGTGTGTGTGTGTGTATATTTGCATGCGCTTCCGTTTGGATGTTCCGCACCTACAGCCTCAGGGAAGCATTTTTTCGGTAGGGAAGAAACGTCATAGGGTAAAGAAGGGGCTGTAATCGACTGCACACACATATAAGTTTTGAAAAATTGCTATTTTCGATATTAAAATTAGGTTTTTGTAAAGTTTTCTGCCAACCTCTTTGTTAGGAAGCAATTAGCATACGCCGGAAGTGGAAATGGTTTATAAAAAGGAAGAAGGGCGCGCTTTTCATTTTTTGGTGAGCGATTTTCGGCAAGGATTATGCAAAGTCAATAACTTCATCGATCCTAGACGGGGCCAGGGTTGAAAAGCCGCGAAGCGGTTTTTCAACCCTGGTTTCAGCTAGAAAAATTATCCAAAAAACTTAAAGTCGCAATTAGGTCAAAATCGGCTATTTTTGGTCGAAAAATCTATATTTTTTTTATATATTTATAATGAATAATTTTAATAAACATTCTTGCACCTAGAAGAAATTTGGACTATCGGGATCATGGGAGGGACGGAATAAATAAATGGCTTTCGCTTTAGCGTGATCGGGCCTCAAAGCACAGGGGCTTGTTTTCAATTTAGCGCCTTTAGCCTTGGCTGTGTCAAGCTACTCTTACCTAATCTATATGTTGCAGAAAGCCGTTCTTCCCAACGTCGACACCGCCCACGTGCCCGCCGGGTTCATGCGCCTCGTGGAGCAAGCGGAAAGGCGCTTGACCCAATACAAGGGCGACGAAGATGTGGACGATGTAGGTCTCACCTGAGGATTTTTCTTTGCGGGGGGGTGATTCGCAGCCCTTATGACGGTGACGAAGTCGAATCTGCCAACGTTTTTTGCAGTCGTCCACGTTGTATCTCCGGGACATCAAGACCGACAAGGAGAAGCACGTCGAGTTCGCTGTGGCGAATCGATTGAAGGTGGAGAAAGAGATCGAGCGTCTGGTAGCTTTTTGCCTTTCCCATGAAGGTTAACATCAAAGTCAGTCCATGTGTGCGTTTAGATGACGATGCTCGACTCCGAGCACGCCAAGAACGAGACGAAGATTGAGAGCCTCCTCAAGACCGCCCGCAGCGCCACCCACGCCACCAAGGCCGAATTCGAGCAGAAGACGCACGTCGATCCGGAGCCGATGGTAGCCTAATTTTCGGGAATTTGATTATCCATGCACAACCGAGGGGACACAAAAATTTCTCCGCCAAGGTTACGCAACGCTCCGCTTCCGTGAATTGGCTTTCAGCTTAGGCTTAGGCCGATATTAACTAAACCTAAGCCTAGCTTAAGTCGCGGCTTAGACCTAAACTGAAACTTGACTTTAATTAGCTTTAATTGGCCCTAGGGCTCGAGGAACCGTCATTTGAGGGTTTACTTTCTATAGGCTTCACTTAGATTAAACCTGGCTTAGACTTGGTTGTTCATGAAGCTAAGCTCAGACTGGCTCTCTAGGCCTGGCTTAGCCTATCGGTAAGCCTAGAAGGTAAAAAAAGTTTGGCGCGCCTTGGAACCTTGGAACCTTGGACCAGAGCCCCCCCGTTGTTGCATTAGCACCTGATCATCCTGCCGATTGCCAATTTATACCTCAATTTTAGTGCGAACTGGTCATCAGGCGCATCAAGCCGCACGTCTTGGTCCAGGTCCAGGGCGCCAACGACGACGGCGACGACACGGTCACCGCGGACAACCAACAGACACCGAAGAAGGTGTAAACGTGCCTAGTTAGTGTGTAATAAACAATTTTATTGTACACCGGCGTTTAGAAGCAAGATATACATAAACCACCACACTCAAAGAAATTCACCAGTTTAGCATTTTTCAGTTTCAATCATCCAAGAATTTTAATTTCGAATGCAACCCTGCTTACTCTACAGTGTGTGTCAAAAAGATACACCTTCTTTCAGCTTCTTTTTTACATGTACTTGAAATATCGCTAAAATAAATAACGCCATTTTTATAAGCGAGAGAAGAAAACAGGGCAAAAAAAGAAGTGTCAAAAAGATAGGGACAGACTTTACATATAATTACCATCAACTTCGCGCTTGCAGATTACATGCTAATTGGTGATCCGAAGTTTTTGGCTATCTAGATTCACGATTACTCCGAAAACCCAGAAGTCAGAAATGGCGATGACTTTGGAACCCTCATTAGCATGTAATTAGCGAAGAACCCATTTTCTGAAAACCGCGCTATCTTTGTTCAGCAATTTTCGGCTTGGCTGGAATAGCCGATCTATAGAGAATTTTTTCTGGTTTGTTGTTGCGAAGGCAAACAAAAAATCAAACCAATATTTGGACCATAAATCCGCGATTTTGTGAAAATTCAATGAAAAACTCGATAACCATCTAGCCAGCGCAGTTTCGCAAATAACTAAAAATGAGACCCTCACCTTTATTTTAACTTTCTCGGGATTTACCTTACATAACAATTTCCCTGGTTGAAAAATACACGCCTTGAACAACTGTTTTCAGGCGGCTGCCCCCTAACGCCAAAAACGCCTGGGAGGCCGATGAGCTATGAGGCACGTCCATTGATTGTATTCCTTCAACGAGCTTTTCAATTCAGAAAGGCCATTGTAATGCGTGCCCACCAGAGAAGGGTGAACAAAAAGTGTCTTATTACTACACGGCTCCTGCCTGTAAACCTTGCCTCAAATATTTCAGGTTGTGTAGACCTTTACGCATTTTCAAATTTGATTTGTAGCAAACTGTGCAGTCGGAACAACGAGGACAGCAAATGTCAAGGCCCTGGAAGCTGCTCGGAAAGAAGTGGGTTTGCCGACTAAAGAGTACACAAACAGCCCTTTCTAGGAAAGTGCAACAAATGCTCCTACATGGCCTGGACCGCATTGGGATATCAGAAGAAGGTGCCGCCAGCGCTCCAACTGACCGACTCTGACTCCGACTAAATGACCCGCACTGAACACAACATTGCAATAAAGCGCTCTTAAACATCAACTTTTACAACGAATGCGATACAGCAGGGTGGCACAAATAAAGTACATAAAAGTCTAAAAGAACATCTGAAGGCTTGGGGTTCGGGTTCGGGATTTTAGCCGTCTGCACAGCTAGCTGACACTAAAAGGCTTATTTCACTACAATTTATCGAACAATCTTTCTCGCAAAAACTGGAAAAATGTACAGGGTGTGCAAAAAAAAAAGCCCACAGTTTGGGTCGAAATAACTCGCGAACGGTAGAGAATCGAAGGTACGTTACCATGCCAGAATGCTTAAATATGCTGGGCATGAAGATATAACACAACTTGATTTTTTCGATTTTTGAGTACGAAACTGTACTATTGACGCTGGTTACGACCGAAAATTGTGCGTTCTTGAACGGGTGGTGGGAAAATTCTGATTTTTGGCCCAAAAATAGTATAAAGTTGTAGAAAAATCATAGCAAAGTCTTAGAATTTTTCGAGGTCAATTTCATTTTTTACAAGCAAAACAATTTTCGCGATTTTGCGTTATTTTTGTTCTTTGAGTCATAACTCGCTTCTAACTCACTGCCCATGGCTGCTTTTTTGCCAATGGCTTATCCAAATATTAATCTCGGATTCCACACCATATTCCACCACAATCTATGGTATTTTTGTATTGCTTGCTAAAACGTGCCCCAGTGGGGTACTGTAGGTTTCGTTTTTCCCGCTTTTCTCGGGGTCCCTAGCTTCGATCCGGCTGAAATTTTTTGGGTTGTTACGCAATAAGTAGGGGCACCTCACTGCCAAATACGAGAGCATACTATCCACAAACTTTCATGAAAAAGACTAAAAACTGATTTTTTAATTCTGCGGCAGAATTTTGTAAATTTTTTGGTCAATTGGCCCAAAAACTGCTACTATTGGCTTTCCGAAAAGATCGAAGCGATTCCATGGCAAAAACCCCACGAAAATCGCAAATTTCGGTTTTCTACAGTAACCCACTTGGAGCGCGTTTTAGCATGCCATCACAAAATTCCATAAAGTGACGATTTTTCTGTTCGAGGGCCTTCTAGAGATGATTGTAAGACAGCCTGTTAAAAATTAGTGATTTTTGGTGGTAAATAACAATGTTACGAGACAAAGTGCAAAACCAGTCCAGAGAGCCGATTTTGAGTCCGAGTAGCCGGGGTCAATTTTCGAATTTTTGAAAATAAAAAAACCACCTGGGTCTTATGGATACGATTATAGCTTTGATGTTATTATCTACGCCCGTAAAATTTGGGGGCAATCTGATTCAAAATTATGGTGACTTTCAGCTCACAACCCGAAGATCACCTTATTCCAAAATCGTAGTTTAAAATTCTTTTTAAAAAATTTTCGACGGAAAATTGTCTTAGTCTTTGCATAGGTTTATTCAACTGATAGCACAGACTTATTGCTCAAAATATCCCTACGACTCCACCTTCCAAAATTTTTATACGCAACCTCCAAATCGGTTTATTTCGGGTTTTGATGAATTTTCTTGGCGCCAACCGCTGGTTAAAAAAATTCATGAATAAGGCTTTAGGAAGCGCTATTCAAATTATATCAGATAAAAATAAAACGATAATTTTCACAGCGCGACTAAATTTTATAAAATGGTGACAAGATTCGGAAAAAAGCATGAACCAACCGTTTTGGAGGCCCTAAAAGACGCCCTTCCAACGGGGTACGGTGGCTCGAAATTTTGTAGATGATAGATAAACCCCAGTACGACATAGCTAAGCAAAGAAAACAGCTGAGTCCCCTTTGGCAATTTAGAAATATTTTTCCAAACTTCGGTTTCGAGATTTCGAAAAATCCATGACCAGGGGGTCGTTGAAAAACTCGAAAATTCATCGATCTGAAAAATTTTTTTAAGATTTTTATGCGATTGTAACGGGCTCGTAGATATTCCACAACAACTGATTTTGGGGTTTTCGCCATAGGTTTTTTTAATATTAAAAATTTACGAAATTTCTCCATACAAAATTTCATTCCTCTCTAACTTTTCAACCAGACTCTCAAAAATTCTTAAATTTTGTAGGTACATATCTGCTGCCTATATTAACTTACTCAATCAAAATTAAATGCCAGCCACCACAGGAAACTGAGAAAAAAACAAATGAAGTTTCCCCGAGCGCACAGTTTTCGGGTGTCATTTGTATTGATACGTCGCCAAAAATCGAAAAAATCAAGTTGTGTTAAATCTTCATGCCCAGCATATTTAAGCATTCTGGCATGGTAACGTACCTTCGATTCTCTACCGTTCGCGAGTTATTTCGACCCAAACTGTGGGCTTTTTTTTGCACACCCTGTATATGAAATCCCGTACGCGGCAATACCTCTTTCCGGGATACGGGTAGCTTCTACGATGTCGATCCAACTTTTAGAAAAACGCGTCTGCTCGATAGATCGGATGCTTTCAATCAATTGTGTATTTTGGCGGCGCTTTTTGGCTGTGTAACAGCGAAAAGCGAATTTTTATATTCTAAAATGGAAAAGCTAGCCTAAACCAAGGTATTTACACATTTTCGGCGTTATTCTGGGCTAATAGGTTGACTTCTTTCGTTTTCAACATTGTGATGTCGTAGCGGTTGGCGAGGTCGGCCTGGAAACATGATAATGAGAACAACAAAATGAGTGGAAAGAGGAAGACTGTATGTTATATTTGTCGGCATCTGAAATGTAGCCTACCAGATGGTTCAATTGGCTCTTCTTGTAGACGATCCCGTCCAGGTCGTCGCACATGGCCATATGGGCTCGTTCTGGGTCGCCAGCCACCAACACCGGGTCCTCGTCCAACTGTAAATGGGTTTCGGTGAATTTATAATCAAATTTAGTAGCTTCAGGGTAGATAAGCCGTTTCTTTAGCGTTTTTAGGATATTTTTCACGTACTACGTTTGAAAAATCTTTAAAAAATACAAAACTATAGATTTTTCGAGCAAAAACCCTCAATTTTCGAGCAAAAATTGAGATGTTTAAATAGTTTTGGTATCTAGATATTTTCCCTCTTAAAATATAACTACCTTTAACTAGAGAGTATTAAAATACTTGTTATTCCCCCGGAAGCACAAAAGAACCGATTCTCCTTTCCACTAACCGGGTCTAGCCCTCTCGTCTCGTCCATAAACGTCTGCATCCGGCCCGCGAATCCGGGCGCAAAACAGTCGGGGTCGATGGCGATGAAGCATTGGCCCTAAAATAGTTGTCTCTTCAATGGTTTCTGCCACGATACCAAATCGGCGGTGGTAGCCGTCGTCTGCCACATGCGAATGTTTTTGCCAAAAGCGGCACCGCCGAGAATGCCACATAATACTTCCACCATCATGCATAGTCCAGTGCCTTTGTAGCCGCCTAAATATTGTATATTTCCAGGGGTTTGTTTCCGGATACCTGTTTCCTCGCTGCCTCCAAGGGGTTGAAGCCCACCGCCATTCAGCACCACCTAAAATTGGGCTTTTTGGGGAATCGTGCCATTTTCGCTGTTGTTGATCAACTTTCACAAACCTGAATTTTGGTTCTTTAGGATTCGGGGGGGAAGTATTCCCGGTATTTCTTCATCTTGCATAATTATCATTTCGCATAACGCTATTTCGCATAATTGCATTTCGCATAATTTTTATTCCGTATAACGGTGATTTCGCATAACGATGATTTCGCATAACGCTTATTTTGCCTAACGGCGATTTCGCATAATGGTCATTTCGCCGAACCATGATTTCGCATAACGATCATTTGGCATAATTTTCAGTTCACCTAGCGATGATCTCGCATAACGTTTATTTCGCATATTTTTAGTTAGTGGCAACCAAGAGCAAAACAGGGCGTTTTTGATGATATGAAGTGCAGTCACGGTATAAGACAATCGAAATGCCTAGCTACCATTTGCGTGGATCCCGCATCTGTAATCCATGTAATGCTTTTCTCCTAGTCTTGCGGTCAGATCTGCTAGTTTACACATGGATACTATCTACAGCGTAGGATTTTTGGTCAAGCCCCTCAAAACAGACGTACACCCGATGGGTCATGGATTTTGAGCAAGCTTGGGATATCTGCACGGAAGGGCGCAAAAAACCGCGCCGGTAGATTGTTTTTCATCGGTTGCTGATTGCTAAGCTAGAGTTATATTGACCATCGGCTGCCAATGGCGAAAATTATGCGAAATGGCGGTTAGGCAAAACCAAAATTATGCGAAATGGTCGTTAGCTGAAATGAAAATTATGCGAAATGATCGTTATGCGAAATGACGGTTAGGCGAAATCACCGTTATGCGAAATAAGCGTTATACGAAATAAGCGTTATGCGAAATCACCGTTATGCGGAATAAAAATTATGCGAAATGCAATTATGCGAAATGGCGGTATGCGAAATGAAAATTATGCGAAATGAATGGAAATCGTATTCCCGGGGGGGAACCAATTTTTTTCGGCACAAGCCTAGATTTTTTTATAAATTGCGGATGCGTTTCTAAATTGTTTTAACTATTCCTGAGTATAAAAACCACGCACATTTTAACCAAAAAAAAAATTTAAAAAATAAAAATTAGGTCGAAAAATCCTATAGAACCTTTAGGATTCGCGGGGGGGGGAAGTCCCAAAATGACCAAATTTTCGACTTATTTAAAAATTTTTCTAAATTTTTCTGAAAGTTATTCTGCTTTAAATATAGTTAAAACTTACGAAAAACAATTCGAAAACACTTTATATTTGATTACTAGGTCAACCGGGACCACCAGGAAAAAAATTGGTTTCCCCCCCCCCTCGGGAATCCTAAAGAACCTGAATTTTTTCTTATAAGTCCAAATCTGGATGGTAACGTCAGAGCAAGTATTTAAATAGTGTTTTAGTAAAATTTTAGATATATGTCAGCAGGGGCGTAGCCAGGAAAAAATTTCGGGGGGGCCCCCAAAAAATTTTTCAAAAAAACTCAAAACATTGCCGAAAAGACAGCGCCGCAGGCAAAAATTTTTGAAAAAAGGCTGCATAGCTCTACAAATAGCCGTAAAACGCGAAAAAATAGCGCCGCAGGCAGCAAAATTTTTGAGAAAATAAAAATCATAAGGGTCCCCCCTTATGAAATTTTCGGGCCCCGGCCGATTTCGGAGGGGAAAATCCGGGTCTTGGGGCCTGTATTACGCTACGTCCCTGTATGTCCGTGACAAAATATTTGGAAACCCGTCAAAATTTGCCATTTC